CGCATCGGGGTTTCCCAGTGACTGCTGTTGCTGAGCAGAGACAACACCGCAGATAACAACGAAGAATATGCAGTAGCTGCAAGCAGTAACCACATACTGCATTGTAGATGTTTTCTTGAGTTCTTGGCAGCGTAGAGTGAAGTTTTCAGTGGGCTTTCTATGATGCTTTTTTGGGCGGACGATGCTGGCTTGAATGTGGCCGGGTCGTGTCTCTGTCTACTCTTTGAGTGACAACTGTATTGAGAAACAAATACGTTGGTGACATGAATAATTAAAACAGAATTCATCTACAGTAAAACTTTGATTAACCGTCACTCGTTTTACAATCATTTTCTGTTAGCGTCCTTGTCTTTGAAATTGTCCACGGATTCGATTTACACCCTAGTGTATACAACAACTGCCAATTACTGCCTTTATATACCACTTCTGCGGTTAAGGTGGGGGGCGGGGGGGTGGGGGTGGGGTGGAGGCTTAGGATTTATAGCCGCATGGCTAGTGCTGTCGCCACGACTGTGCAGGTGAGGATTTTATTTTGCCAGACAGAAAAAAATCACCAGCCTTACCGAGGATTTAAATCCGGGTCTCCCTCATGAAAGCTCAGCTTTCTAACCGTTCGGCCAGCCGCTCCCCGCCCTACTGTATACAAATACAAACATTTTGTGTACATTACTTCTCATATATTGAAGCTTATATTGATAGTTTTGTAAAATTGTTTTGTGAAATCACATTACTGTAAGTAAGTATTCGGGTTCAAGTCCCGGTGAAGACTGAGATATTTTCACATAGACTTCTAGTAATTTTCCTTGGTCTCTAGGTAGTAAGATCGGGCGCCGGTGCGTATTGCTGCACACGGGTAGTAACCCATAAGTGCTTCGTTCTTCTTCTAACACAAGTCTGAGTGCGAAGAAGCTCAGCACAGTGTACAGGCTCTGTAGCATTGGCGAGGATCCTGAAATACTTTGGGTAGATTTGTAACTCCAAATTTTGTCCGGGCAGCGCCGTTAGGTTACTCTTTTCGATTTCCAACTGCCAAGGGATTTTTTACGTGTGCATCAATGCACACGGGCGTCCGATCTCACTACCCAGAGACCAGGGGAATTACTAGAAGTCCAAGTCCGCGCGAAAAAATCCCAGCCCTTACCGGGGATTGAACCCGGAACCTCTTGCACTCGAGGCGGACACCACGCCTCGAGACCACGCAGCACCCCTTAGCGAATCTGGCCAAACTTCTGAGACATCAAAATATGTACACGCACACACAAAGCGTCGACTCTGTGGCTAAGTCGATGCGAACGCTTCGTAATGCCGAGATGACGGGTTCGATCCCAGCTGCGGGCCATGCGCCTTGCGTTGGTTTCGACAGTGGTATCAAGAAAGCTGACCGCCCAGAAAGCAATGACAAACTACTGGAGGTAAATTTGCCTAGAAAAACCACACAACAGCCTGGGGCTGTTGGGGTTGGTTCTGCAACGTCCTGTAAAGGATACGTAGCTAACCAACACACAAAGCAGCTGACAATTTGGCTGCTCGTGTCAGCTTTGTGCTATCAACGCCAGACACGGACAGTCTTATTTGAAACAAAGATATAAAGATAAACTTAAACATCTCTTCTTCTTCTTATTTCGTTTGCTTGAAATAGATTATCTATCTATATTTGCAATGTTGTCCCTAGTAGAAACTTCACTGTCTTTTGTAATTCACTCAGCGACCCGTAAAGTTTGACTTGCACCGATGTTTCTCTTGGCCAAACGTTTTGACTTGATATGTTGTATTTGAGACAGTCTGGGAGGACATGATCTGTTGTCTCAGGTGCCAATCCATATGTGCACATGGCTGATTCGCCAATTTAAAATTGTGTGTACACGTGGCTGTGAAGTCGACTGTGTCCTGTTCTAAGGCGTAGAATAACAACTTGCTCTGGTGTGACGACATGTGAAATGAGATGTATCAGAAAAGTGGCGGGAAAAACAAGAAGAGGCAGAGTCACCAACGGAGAACTTAAAATAACGGTAGGCACAGTAATGTTGAATGATTTCATAGAACATCAAAGAATCACAGTGTTCGGTCACCGGCTCTGAATGGAATAAAATCAGCCGGCAGCTAAAGAGAACTGCGTGCGAACACCAGGCTACTAGCCAAGAAGTCGACCAAGAAAGAGATGGGCGGATAAAGTGAAAGAGACACTAGACACGCAATATGACATTTACGGAAGCTAGACAACTATTAAAAGACAGGAACTTACACCTAACTCCCCCCCCCCCCCTTTTTCCTTTTTTTTAAAGGTTCATATATCCATTTTTTTCACACCACGTTTCATTTCTCATTGACAAATCTCAAAATTGATAGCTTTTATTATTTCTTTTTTTTTTTATACAGGCATTCAAAGCAAAAAATATACGGACATGTTAAAAAATATAAACAGTTAACTAAATTTTCCACATAAAGAGAATCATATCATTACTGATGTTGACCCTACATTTGGGGTGCCCCTCGTGAACAGCTTCGGCGCCATCTTCACGGTATGCTTCGACTCTAGAACCAGAGCCATGGAAGTTTTCACTGCCATCAAACTCGATCTGATCAACTTCCTCCACATGCTCACCTGTGGGAATCTCCACACGTGGTCGCGGGGACAACGATGTCTCCAGTGGCTTCAATAAATCTTCACTAGCCAAATTCCTCTCAGGAAAATCAATGCTAAAGTTTATATACAATTTGCCCTTTTCATACGGGTTTTTATACTGTGGCATTCCCACTTCATGCACCATTGTCAGTTTTCCTGGCGTAAGCAGTGGGACCAAAGAAGAAGCGAGTCTGACGTAGTGTAAACAGAAACATTTTCCCTGCCAAGAGATGTATAGTGCTAGACACATATTTAACAGACGAATCGGCAATTGGTCAATGATACGATCGAACGTAATGGTATTACCTTTTCTTTGGAGTAATCAAGGTAGGTCAAGAGAGGGATCGTGATGCATGGGCAGCGTATGGTCTCTACAATACTGCCCAGGCAGGAGAGTATGAGCCATGGTCTGTAAGTCCACTCCAATCTAACACTATCGTCTAGTAAGACGCAAGGTTCCAATCAATCATAAGACGAAAAGGTTCCAACAATCAAAAGACAGAAAGGTTCCAATCAATCACAAGACGGGAAGGTTCCAATCAACCACAAGACAGAAAGGCTCCAATCAATCACAAGACGGGAAGGTTCCAATCAATCAAAAGACAGAAAGGTTCCAATCAATCACAAGACGGGAAGGTTCCAATCAATCAAAAGACAGAAAGGTTCCAATCAATCACAAGACGGGAAGGTTCCAATCAACCACAAGACAGAAAGGCTCCAATCAATCACAAGACGGGAAGGTTCCAATCAATCAAAAGACAGAAAGGTTCTAATCAATCACAAGACGGGAAGGTTCCAATCAATCAAAAGACAGAAAGGTTCTAATCAATCACAAGACGGCAAGGTTCTAATCAATCAAAAGGCAGCAAGGTTCTAATCAATCATAAGACGGAAAGGTTCCAATCAATCACAAGACGAAAGATTCAAATCAATCATAAGACGGAAAGATTCAAATCAATCATAAGACGGAAATGTTCCAATCAGTCATAAGACGGAAAGGTTCCAATCAATCGAAAAACACGACCTAGTACCCATCTTAGACTGGAAACCAAGGTAATTGTTGCAAAAATATCTGGCTTGATGCGGATTTGAACCTACGACCTTCGAGCCCGTAGGCGAGTGTCTAGCTACTACACCACGGGCGTGCTCGGGGATAGAGTGCTGGACATATTTTGTATAGACCAATCGCAACTCAATGGGTGATGTGGTAAACACCCAGCCGGCTACCTTTACTTCCCAGGACATTGCTTACTACCCGTTTAGGCCAGGTTTCCCTTGGAGCCAAGGTCAATGACATGGGAATGTAGTGAATAAAAAAACCGAACGGTTGGTTGGTTGGTTGGTTGGTTGGTTGATAGTTCACAAGCGATAAACACCCGGTGACAAAAAAGTGCCACCACGCGGATGAGCCTTACCCGTGGAGAGGTCCCAGAAACCCCTTTCAGCCGTTAGGCTATATCTATGGCTAGGCCATATTTATGACCCGGCTATATTCAGGGGAAGGTCGCCGGTTCGCTTCCTGGTGGAGCCGGACTTTTCTTAAAAGATTACCTTGGCTCCCAGGTCGACCCAGCTTTGAGTGGGTACCGGACGCAGTCCCGGGAAGTAGACGCGGCCGGCGTGATGCTGACCACATCACCCATTTTGTGCTGTTGGTCTATAAAATATAGGTCTAGCCCTATATGCCCTAAAGGCGTGGAAAGGGGTCCTTTACTTTTGTTTACTTTTACTTATATTCAGGGCCCTCGGCAAAAGCCAGGGTTGGGCTTCAAATAACAACAATACTGTATCCCCCGAGGGGACGACTTATGATTAAACAAACAGAGTTTGCAAATGAAAGTATGCAGACACTGTTTCATAGAGGAATGGCTGACTACATCTGCAACTAAACAAAGATTATTATTATTATAACTGTTATTATTATTATTATTATTATTATTATTATTATTATTATTATTATTATTAACAGAAAGGTTAAACGGTAAAGTCTTAAGGAAAACACACACGCGCACACGCACACACACACATAGTCGCGCGCACACACGTTACTTTTAAATGAGAAATACTTACACTTATTGTTATTCAACGATATTCTTATAATTGCAACTTATTCATCGATGTTGCAGCATTAGTTACGGTAGACTGAAGGCTGAGGGACAGTTGCTAACTCCTTATTTCAGTAAATTGTTATTTTCTTGATACCCGAAACATGCCACAGAACAGAAGATACTTACTGTCACTTTGTGGCATCGAGTGTTTTTATTTATGGCATCTTATCAAAGTCCGTTGCGTGGCCAGTGGGAGGAGCTGAGGTGACCGCAGACAGTGGCTGTCCCGCGGTTTTTATTTTGCTAATGCGAGTGTCCGTTTCTTGCCCGCACACTCTTGCGTCACAATGCAAGGCGTTAAGCTTACTCAGGAAGTGAGTTGAGCCTCTCACAAACTTTCCTGCAACCCAACTCAAGGTATAGAGTTTACC